TAATCCTTCTATCTTTACTGATAGTTGTTTAGCAACGAAACTTTGTTGAATAATTGCTTCTTCCACCTTAACCAACCTCTCTTCTGCAGTTGCTTCTTCTTGAATTATCTCCTCAGGGTTGCCCATGACGTTGTCGGCGATAGCTTCAGACTCTAGCCATAGTTGCGCTGATACCAATTGTGAGGCTCGTGAGCCTCGATTGCTCCTCAAATTGCTGTTTCTGGCCATGACTGGAACTATAAGAGTCTCAGAACAGAATACAAGGAAATTTGAGATGAAAGAGAGGAAGAGAGTCGAGAAAGAGAGAGTTTAGAGATAGAAGATAAGAGTAAGTTGAGAGAAGAACAACTAATTTCATTCATAATCCTATTCAGAGTTACAACTTCTCCTTTTATACAACACTTGTCAAAATTAAGAAAGAACAGAAACGTGCACCAAACGTGCACACACAGTAACAACTCTCAACCGAAACAGTTAATTATGTTCTCAACTAACTAACAATATTTATTACAAACTAAAGCATTGCATAACAACTCCAGGTCTTGTGCAGCACTTCAACTCTCGTCTCCAGCTTCCACCCTCCCATCCTTTACAGGTTCACTTCCTGTTTCCTGTTTTCAGCTTGGATGGCCAAGTCTTCGGCTTCCCAAGTCTCCGCTTCCTTCTCTATTAAATGATTCACTTCATGCTGACTTCCAGCACCTGACAAAACATCACCAAGGGGAAAACGTCTCTGAATCATTCGCATGTGAGCGGGCGTCGGGCGACACGATTCTCAACCAAAAATCGATGGGTATAAATTGAATATTTATCTCCTTTAGCCAACCCATTGCTGGTTGGAAACCATCTCTGTTCACATATAATTTACAAGTAAGTATGTTTAGAAATAACCTTGAGACAAAGGCTTGGAATTGTACAAATTTCTTGTAAGCACATCGGGGAATTATAATTTATCTGCAGACTGATCCACTCAGTACAGCTTCACATCCAGCACATTAGGAGAGCCATACTTCATTATAATCATGACCATTATTTTGGATTATTTTTATTTTTTAAATAATCATTATTTTAGAATGTTAATTCCCAAAAATAACCAAAAAAGAATTATCCAACGAATAATGGAATTCCTATAAGCTGTAATGTTAAGATAAGGGAAAATTGTGTCAATGCCTCAAAAGTAATAACTTCATGTGACCTGGCTCCTCCATTTTTTTCCATTGTGGTTTAGCCCAAAAAATATCACATCATGTGATTCAGCCCTTTTTTATGTGATTCAGCCATTTACTCTATTCCAACTAAGCACAAAGAGAGAGAGCCAAACATAAAAGTAAAAAACACCCTTATTTCCTCATCTCTCTTCCTTCTCTCTAGATCTAAGTCTGATCCTCTTCTCATATCCTCCTCTCTCCTAACCTATTTCCTTCCTCCTCTGTCTCTTCCTCCTTTTTCTCTCAGACACCGACATCGTGCTTCGCTACCGTCGACCTTGCGTGCACGCTCCGACCATATTGTTCGATCATTTTTTTCCCATTAATTTTCCCGATCTCTCTTTCTTCTTTCTTTCCCCCCAAAACTAAAAAAATCCTAATTTTTCCCGACATTGAAGGTGAAAGAGGTGGCGAAGAACAAGGCGGAGGAGGCAGTGCAGGAGGAGGACGAGGAGGAGCTCGAGGCCGTCGCAAGTTCCACAAAAACTCATTTTAAGTTTAATTTAATTCATTTTAAGTCAAATTTAAATCATGTTAAGTCTAATTCAACTTGTTTTAAGTTTAAAAACAAGTTAAATTAGACTTAACATGAATCATGTTACGTCTCATTTAAATTATTTTAAGTCTAATTTCTAGCTAAGTCTAATTTTATTCGTGTTAAGTCCAGTTTGGTTCGTGTTAAGTCTAATTTGATTCGTGTTAAGTCTAATTTAATTTATGTTAAACCCAATTTAAATCATGTTAAGTCTAATTCAACTTGTTATAAGTCTATAAATAAGTTAAATTAGACTTAACATAAATCATGTTAATTTTAAGTCTAATTTCTAGTTAAGTCCAATTTGATTCATGTTAAGTTCAATTTGATTCATGTCATGTTAAGTCGAATTTGATTTATGTTAAGTCCAATTTGATTTATGTTAAGTATAATTTAATTCATTTTAAGTCAAATTTAAATCATGTTAAGTCTGATTCAACTTGCTTTAAGTCCAAAAATAAGTTAAATTAGACTAACATGAATCATGTTAAGTCTAATTCAACTTATTTTAAGTCTAATTTCTAGTTAAGTCCAATTTGATTCATGTTAAGTCCAATTTGGTTCATGTCATGTTAAGCCCAATTTGATTTATATTAAGTCAAATTTGATTTATGTTAAGTCTAATTTAACTCATTTTAAGTCTGTTTTAAAAAAAACCAATAGTTTGGATGTTTTGTGAAATTTGTAATTTCTATTTGAACATTGTGGAAAGATGAAAGATTTAAAGATATACCCGCTAAATGTGATTTTTTTTTACAACTGTTTATGTTAAGTTCACGTCCAATATGGAATATTAAGTCTAATGAGTTAGAAGCAAAGTCTGAGGGCATGTTAAGTCTATTTGGTTGAATGATAAGTCCAATAGCTTGTATGTTAAAACTATTAGGTTGAATAATAAATCTAATTTGTTGAATATTAGATATAATGAATTATGCGTTAAGTCCAGTTTGGTTCGTGTTAAATCTAATTCAACTTATTTTTAGACTTAAAACAAGTTGAATTAGACTTAACATGATTTAAATTAGACTTAAAAGAAACTAAATTAGAGTTAACATAAATTAAATTGGACTTAACTTAACATGAATCAAATTGGACTTAATTAGAAATTAGACTAAAATGAGTTGAATTAGACTTAACATGATTCATGTTAAGTCTAATTAACTTGTTTTTAGACTTAAAACAAGTTGAATTTGACTTAACATGATTTAAATTAAATTTAAAAGGAATTAAATTAGACTTAACATAAATTAAATTGGATTTAACATAAATTAAATTGGACTTAACACGACATGAATCAAATTGGACTTAACATGAATCAAATTGGACTTAACTAGAAATTAGACTTAAAATAAGTTGAATTAGACTTAACGAGATTCATATTAAGTCTAATTTAACTTGTTTTTATACTTAAAACAAGTTGAATTAGTCTTAACATGATTTAAGTTGAACTTAAAATGAATTAAATTAGACTTAACATGAATTAAATTAGACTTAACATGAACCAAACTAGACTTAGACTTAACATGATTTAAGTTGAACTTAAAATGAATTAAATTAGACTTAAAAATGAATTAAATTAGACTTAACATGAACCAAACTAGACTTAATTAGAAATTAGATTTAAAATAATTTGAATTAGACTTAACATGATTCGTGTTAAGTCTAATTTAACTTGTTTTTAGACTTAAAATAAATTGAATTAGACTTAACATGATTTAAATTATACTTAAAAGAAATTAAATTAGACTTATCATAAATCAAATTGGACTTAATATAAATCAAATTGGACTTAACTAGAAATCAGACTTAAAATAATTTGAATTAGACTTAACATGATTCATGTTAATTCTAATTTAAGTTGATTTTAGACTTAAAATAAGTTAAATTAGATTTAACATGATTTAAATTGGATTTAAAATGAATTAAATTAGACTTAAAATGAGTTTTTGTTGAACTTGCGACAGCCTCGAGCTCCTCCTCATCCTCCTCTGGCACCGCCTCCTCTGCCTTGTTCTTCGCCACCTCTTCGCCTTCAGTGTCGGGGGAAATTAGGGTTTTTTTAGTTTTTTTTTGGGGGGGGGGAATGAGAGATCGGGAAGAATTAGTGGGAGAAAAGGAGCGAACAATTTGACCGGAGTGTACACACAATGTCTGCGGCGGCAGAGGGTGATGTCGGTGTCTAAGAGAAAAAGTAGGAAGATAAAGAGGAGGAAGGAGATGTGTTATGAGAGAGGAGGAGAGAAGATGAAGGAGGATCAAACTGAGATCTGGAGAGAAAGAAGAGAGAGAGAGAGAGAGAGAGAGAGAGAGAGAGAGAGAGAGAGAGAGAGAGAGAGAGGAGAGAGAGAGAGAGAGAGAGAGAGAGGAGGAAATGAGGGTATTTTTTACTTTTATGTTTAGAGAGAGAGAGAGAGAGAGAGAGAGAGAGAGAGAGAGAGAGAGAGAGAGAGGAGGAAATGAGGGTATTTTTTACTTTTATGTTTGTTTCTCTCTCTTTGTACTTAGTTGGCATACATTAAAGGGCTGAATCACATAAAAAAGTGTTAAATCACATGATGTGACATTTTTTGAGGCTGAACCATAGTGAAAAAAGTAGAGGGGCCAGATCATATGAAGTTATTACTTTTGGAGTCTTGACACAATTTTTAATTAAGATAATCCAACATTTGCGAATAGGAGAAATTTTTAAAAGGACCATTTTTTCAATTTTATATAGCAAAAACGACCTCATGAGAAAATAATTTGCAAAACCGACCATTTTCTTCGGAAAATGGTTGGTTTTGCAGTCGCGAAGTTTTTCGAGCTACACGGGACTAGCAGTCCCGTGTAGTTCGGTCAGCAATTGAAATGCACGAGACTACATTTCATTCTTCTCTCTAGATCAATTGTAGAAGAAGAAGCACGTGACTGCTAGTCCCGTGTAGTTCGTCTAGCAATTGAAATGCACAGGACTAGCAATCCCGTGCATTTCATTCTTCTCTCGGGATCAATTATAGAAGAAAAAACATGTGACTGCTAGTCTCGTGCATTTCAATTGCAGGCCAAACTACACAGGACTAGCAATCCTGTGTAGCTCGAAAAACTTCGCGACTGCAAAACCCACCATTTTCCAAAGAAAATTGGTCTGTTTTGCAGATTATTTTCTCATGAGGTCGTTTTTGCTATATAAAATTAAAAAAAGGTTCCTTTTAAAAATTTGTCCATGCGAATATTTCTTTTTCGTTTTTTAGCCCATAAGCTACGGTCCATCTTAGATTTTAGCCTCTAAATTATTAGTTATAATTTGAGAAAGGCCTGATCCTAATAGCTAAATAACATTATCATAGCTATCAACTCCCCATCACCGATCTCAACTCCAGTCAATCTCATTTCCGACCGTCTCCGGTATCCGCCGCCTCCGCCGGTCTGTCCAAATCATGCTTGGAATCTCATACGGCCTCATCGTTGGAGCAACCGCAGCTCTCATTGGTACTCTCTCATCTCTCTCTTTGACATTTTCACGAACACTTTAGATGCATCAGATTCTAAACTCATATGTGCTTGATTCTAGGCCCAAAAGATCTTCCAGTGATCGCGAGGACAGCAGGTCGGTTAGTGGGCCGCGCCATCGGGTACGTCCAGATGGCCCGCGGTCAGTTCGACAACGTCATGCAACATTCCCAAGCTAGCAAGGTCCTCCAAACAATGACCAAATTTGAAAAACAAATTATTCCAATTTCATTTAGAATCAATACAAATATCTTTTTTTTAGTTTGTCGTAATGTGACATGGTTAGGTGCATAAAGAGCTTCAAGATACAATGGCGCAGTTGGAAGCTATTCGTTATGAGATAAGAAGTATTTCGATTATGAGTCCTGCTCCTTTCACTAGGAGGATGGAGGCTGCAGCAGGAGATCCTCCTTCGAATAATAGTAACTTTGATGGTAACTAGAGGTGTCCAAATGGGCTTTAGGGCCGGACCCGGCATGGCCCGAACCCGGCCCGGGCCCGGGTGA